GAGAGTATAATAAATGTGGTTTGATCTAAAACACTATGGCAGGTTCATTTATACAATGCACAAAATAAACAATAAGAGTATACATTATAGCTAACCTGTCTCTTATACACATCTAGATGTGTATAAGAGACAGATTATTATCCAATTGAATGTCTAAGACTAGAATTTTTAAATTTTGTCATCAGCAATTCTTAAATTCACCAGCTTTTTTTTTTTTTTTTTTTTTTGAGAGGCAGAGGCTCATTTTGCTCACCACGCTGGAGTGCAGTGATGCAGTCATAGCTCACTGCAGGCTCAAACTCCTGGGCTCAAGCAATCCTCCCACCTCAGTCTCCCACGTAGCTGGGATTATAAGCATGAGCCACCATGCCTGGATTACAGGTCTTAACAGATGAATAAACATCGATTAAATCTAAATACAACAATATAGAAAGCAATTAATGGTAACATGATTTGTAATCCATAGTTATGAGTTTTATACAATATGGAAACATTAATTTTGCTGAAGAAATTTGTCTTTGGTGAACTGCACACACATGTGCATAAAACAGCAACAAAGAATAACAAGTAAAAACTTTTCAAATAATGACTCACTCCTAAGAGATGTAAAAAGACAAGTTATTAATGAAAGCTTGCACAGCCCACAGAGAATGTGTGTGCTCAACATGTTTTATAAGGCAAATTATTTATATAACTAAATTTGAGGAAAATGCTCTTATTGTCAAATGCAAATTTCACTTTACAACAGATTTCACATGAGCAAGCATTGTTGTTATTTAAAACTCATCTTATTTCTTTGCATGCAAATCACGCTCACCACACTCTCCCTTTGTCCACGACTGGCACGATCAGAAGACACAATGCTTGCGGTGTCATCATTGGTAAACTATAGATATTAAATGCAGATAATGACAAAGATGCAATTTTGCTATGGTGTTACCTCATTATAAGCACATTAAGGAAGGTTTTGAGATGCATACGAATAATGATATAAGCAGCATAATTGGTATAATCTATTGTGCACCCTATATATTAATAGAAAAGCTGGTACAAGGCATAATAAACTGCTATTAAAAATCAGGAGACATTTCCAAAAAGCACAAATAAAGTAAAACCTTACATTTTATTTAAGTTAAATTAAAGAAAGCCAGGTGCGGGGGCTCACGCCTGTAACCCCAGCACTTTGGGAGGCCAAGGCGGGCGAATTGCTTGAGGTCAGGAGTTCAACACGAACCTGACCAACATGGTGAAACCCCGTCTCTACTAAAAATACAGAAATTAGCCAGGCATAGTGGCGGATGCCTGTAATCCCAGCCACTCGGGAGGCTGAGGCAGGAGAATCGCTGGAACCCAGGAGGCGGAGGTTGCAGTGAGCAGAGATTATGCCACTGCACTCCAGCCTGGGTAACAGAGCAAGACTCCATCTCAAAAAATGAAAGAAGGGGAGGTGCATAGTAAGCCAACTGAAACCAGCTAGGGATTTCATACTTCTAAACCTCTGGGCCCTTTGTGATCCTATCAGGGGTCAATAAATATACTTAATGTTTTTGCTTGAGAGAGAAAATAAAATAATATTTTAAAGCGAAACAATGTAAGTCAATGACAGAAATTCCTACAACAGGGACAACAAAGTAATGGTTCTTATTTTCCTTTATTCATTACTATGCAACTAGTGGAGATGTTGCTAACATCACCCTACATGGCTCTGTCATCTTCTTGCTTTACCAGCCAAAGACTCATCTTCAGTATGTGTAGTTTATCTCCATTCTAACATCACTAAGAAACCATTCTGGCATCACTAAAATAGTCATTCTGACCCCAACCTGCAAATGAAATAGGATCTAGCCAGCCTATAAGGACAAGATCCTACAAGTGAATGAAAATATAAGCTGGGTACAGTAATACACACCTGCAGTCCCAGCTACTGAGGAGGCTGAGGCAGGAGGATTACTTGAGCTCCAGAGTTCGAATCCAGCAGAGGCCACATAGAAAGTTACCCTCTCTAAATAAAAATTAAAAATAGGCCAGGCATGGTGGCTCATGCCTGTAATCCCAACTCGGAGGCTGAGGTGGGTGGACCACCTGAGGTCGGAAGTTTGAGACCAGCCTGGCCAACATGGTGAAACTTGGGAGGCTGAGGTGGGAGAATTGCTTGAACCTGGAAGGCAGAGGCTGCAGTGAGCCAAAATCACACCACTGCACTTTAGAGACTGGGTGACAGAGCGAGACTCTGTCTCTAAAGAAAAATATATACATATTAAAATTTTAAAAATTATGTGTGTATGTGTATAAAATCAAATTTTATTTGCAAGTGACCACCACACTCAGGAAACTAAAAATGCTACCAGGTCCAATAATTGCCAAGTGGAATTTTATTACAGGGTAGGTTAGAAGTAAACTTCCTTCTTATGTGAAAAAAGTTCTTACCTTCTTAAACATCCCTGTGTAACTTTTGTTAAATACAGCAGTGGCATTTTTAAGCTGTGCCACTTGGAAATGGTAGAACTGAGACAAACATGTATGTAAAAGAAAACCCATATAGCTCACCTATTCCACTTCACAAATTAACCTTTGATGACCTTTAAAAAATTGCTTTAATTATTTCTCTAGTTTTGACATTATCAAGGATAACAAGGTAGCTCATAAAGTCATCATTTGCCATTGGGAATGTAAATCAGTACAGTCCTTTTGGTAGACAACATGGTAATTTACATCATAATTTAAATGCATATCCTCTTTGACCCCATCATTTCATGATTCACAATTTACCCTGCAGATTTACCCATGTAAGTACACAAAAATATACTTGGATAAGAATGGTCATTGTGTAAGTGTCTATAGTAGCAAAAATATGACAATCTAATGTCCATCACAGGGAAATGACTTTTTATTTTTTCACTTTTTATTTTTTTTTGAGATAGAGTTTTGCTCTTGTTGCCCAGGCTGGAGTGCAATGGCACGATCTTGGCTCACCGCAGCCTCTGCCTCCGGAGTTCAAGCGATTCTCCTGCCTCAGCCTCCCAAGTAGCTGGGATTACAGGCATGTGCCACCACACCCGGCTAATTGTGTATTTTTAGTAGAGGTGGGGTTTCACCATGTTGGTCAGGCTGGTCTTGAACCCCCGACCTCAGGTGCTCTGCCCGCCTCGGCCTCCCATAGTGCTGGGATTATAGGTGTGAGCCACCGTACCCAGCTAGGAAATGACTTTTAAAATGTATACTTATGCACTAACGGAATATATTGCCATTAAAAAGAATGTGCTAATATGAAACTACCTCTAAGAGACATGAAGTGGAAAAACTAAGGGACACGGCTTACTTGTTGAAAATTTTTATCAAAAAAAGAAAGAATGAAATAAATTTATAGGTGCTGATACAGAAAGCTACTTTAAAGAAAGAAAATATATTGAGGAGCAATATGTAATATGAACCTATTTGCACTCAAAATAAAGAGCACTCATATATGCATAAAATATCTATGAAAGGTTATTGAAGAACAGAGATTATATTTGGGGAAGGAAAATGGGGAAGGAGGGGTCTGGGGAATTTTACTTTGAATTTTCCTTAACTAATATTATTTTTACAAATTTTAAAAAATACTCCAGAAAGATTAATTATAATTGTCCCAGTTTTGTCTTTTGTATAATACATTTTTTAAATCAGTTTGTTTTATTTCTTCTCCTTTCACTGCACTGATAGAAGTGCTAGCAAGCAGGTGAAATTGGCTGAATGTGCAGAATGTAAAGATGGAAAGGAGAAACACAGGATAGTCAACCTATACACTGAATTATCATCACTGAAAGACAAGAAGTTCTACACAAATGAAAATTAAATATAAAAACTTAAAAAATTCTAATGGCACTGGTTAGAGACTCGTTTAAGAAATTACATGCTAAGTCACATTTATAGAGAAATTACCAATTATTAGGACAAATTAGTGCTTGAGTTTATGTACTAAGGGAACACCTAATCCATACACAACAAAGTGAATCACACCATATCCTCAATATTCTAAACAGTGAGTACAGATTAATGCAACAATCAAAAATCTCTACAAAGCATGCAGAGACTAGACAGCTCACCACTGGACTGCTTCGGGCTGAACTTGTTCTTGATGAGTAATAACTGCATTCAGATGGCTATAAAGTTCCCAAGAAGAAAGGTTTTACAACAATGAACACCTCATTTTTCTAATGAGAATACATTAAGGACCATGGACCTAACTTGCCCCTGGTTCTCAAGATAAAGTTAACTATTATTCAGTGGTCTAGAACTCTACCTCATCCCCACCCTCAAGATCTACCAGCCCTTGGCTAGAGGGAGAGAAGAAGAAGGGGATGCCCTGAGAAGTGCTGCTCAGAACTTCTTCAGGAGGAACTAATGAACAAGAAAAGTGGTTTTTCTATGTATTTCCCTAATACTTGAAGCCATGATTTCCAGCAGGCATTTTATCACGGCTTGGGTGAGAGTCACAACTGGCTAGCTGAATGACTTGATCACAGCTTAGAGAGTAATTACAGATCAGATTAAATAACTTTTTCTTTGTGTACTCTTTTTTTTTTTAATTTTTGACTTTTTCTTTGAAAGTAAACTGTGCCCACCCACATTTCCCTCCTCCTCACCACCTTCCCCTATTTAGACTTACAGTTCGAGAACCATAAGGGTTATATAATCCACCATTGTACAATGATGCCTAAGGAACAAAGGAAATATTACTTAGCTATTTAGCATTAAGGTTGTTTTGAAAATGACTTAATGTTTTCACAATACTCGGTAGCAAAAAAGTTTTAGAGAATGATATAAGTGTATAGCTTCCCAAAGTGAAAACCCTGAGGGCGGTAATACTCCTTTATATGCATAAATTGCTATCAACCTTACACTTCATTTTTTAAAAAACTACCTCTGGTTACAGTATTTTCTTTCACCATCATGTTATGAAACTGGGAGAATTAACACGTATAAATGTATTTCCTCAAAAGAGGAAACAGAGCAGGAAAGGAAACTGAGGTACAAAGAGTATTTTGCCCACTACAACAATAAAATTAAGTTATAAAACCTCAGGATCCCAGTCCACTAGAACAGGCCACAACACAACAAACAGCTTGAAAGCAACAAATTCACAGCTCACACATTACACAGAGCTATTGCTTTTACTGTTCTAGTCAGCTTGCTTTATTAGATCCTAGTATCAGAGGCCAAGATCATAACTGTCCCAAAGAAAAACAATATCCTTTCCATAAGCAGCCATCTCACAAAAGTATGTGAGTGTGGTGGGACTCAAGCAAATCTATCTTCCCTATGAAAAAACTGATTCTAAGCAAGGGCTACCAACAGCCCTCTGTGAAGGGAATATGCTCATTTTTAATACCCTAAAGTTTTATATTTTAAGCACAGGCAGCACAATCTGAAGTACACATGACATTAAAATCATGTGTCCTTAACTATTTTGGAGAAAAGCTGTCAAGCCATAGAGTTAGCACCATGACATTGACCCCACCAGCACTGCACACACTGGAAGAGAAAAATACAAACCAGACTGGCACTTCTCAGCAGACCAGAATTTGCAGTAGAAGAGGCCTAAGAAAAAAGTGCATTATTAAACCCGAAAAAAAGCAAGTGGTAGCTCTGAAGGCAGAAAATTCCTCAGAAAGTACTAACCCTGTCACTCTTATATGTTGCCAGAGGGTCACTGTACAGGGAAGAAGACTGCTAAGAGACAAAAACAAAATAAATAAGCAAAAACAAAAAACAAAGATGAATTGGTCTCACCATCACAAATGCAGAGGATTTAAGTTTATGATTTTACACTCCATAATTCATTAGCAATTCCTGAGTGCTTAAGGTAGTTAAGAAACACAAGAAATAAGAAAAACTTAAGTCATTAGAAATTGTTTTGAGTATCAATTGTAAGGGATAAGAAAGAAAAACAGTTGGAACAGTTTTCTGTAAATTATAAATATGTTTATGTCCTATTGGTCTTCAAGCATTATTGTTAGGATATGGAATGGTAAGTAAGAAAACACTGAGGGAAAGAGGGCCATGGCACTGGGAGTGTAGCAAACAGTGGCCACATCCCACTCACCCAGTTCCTATGATATTTTCAGTGATTTTATGACCAACTCCTAATTGGCTTAGACTGGTTTTTGGAGAACCAGATAAATAAGCTCCAAGTTAGCACTACAAACACTCTTTTCCAAATAGATTAGAAAACCTGTTCTTCAAAACAAGCCATGGACAAAGTGCCTTAGTTGAATTAGATAAATTGTACCAGTCAATGAATCCATGCACTAAAAGGACACAGCATGTTTTTAAAGGAATTAAATCTTGCTTTTCCTGATGTCATCTGAGGGCATACTTTTCAAGTTCTTTTTCACCAAACCCAATCAGAGATGAAAAATAAGAGTACTTAAGTTGTGTGTGCAGGTTTTTTAAACAAAATTATTTTAAATGTACCGTGTGCCATACATTTAATGTGTCTTAAATGTATGATGTGTCAAATGTCTTTAAAAAAACAGGAGATTCTAATATTAAATAACTACATTCTTCTCATGCCACATGTAGTTTACATTTTTATATATAAGCTTTTTTAAAAGGGTACCCACTCTGAAGTATATGGAAGCTTACAACTTATTTTGAAATGTATCAAAAACTCAGATGAATTGATGGTTAGAGGGACAAATAGATACTTATGTGATAAAGGAAATATAATGAATTATATAATCTAAATGACAAGTATGTGATATTCACTATATTAGTCTTTGAACTTTTTGTACATTTAAACATTTTCATTAAAAAATTTTTTTAATGGTACTGATTTATAAACATGATGATTCAATAGTTCCCGTTGTTTAAAGAGACTCCCACAGACTATATAAATTCAGTTACCAAAAACTAGTATATACGTAGCCATTTACAGATTATTTACAGCTAGTCAAAATGCAAAACAGGGAGATTAGAAAACACATAAAGCCAAAAAACTTTAGACAAACCCGAGTGTAGTAGGCAGAGGTGGGTTTGCTATGTCTAAGACTGCTATAGTTTCTCTGGTCAAAGTAGAGGCCACTCTGCAAAAACCAAAATTAAACACATTTTTCTTAGGTTAAATGTCAATAACCTAACAACACACAAAGGTAAAACTGAACACACAAAGGCAAAATGTGATATTGCCAAATCCCTTATTCTCCAAAATAATGTTTTTAAATCATCATATCACATTAAGTCAAAGTAACAATTATTTCAAGCCCCTAAAACAAAGATATTACTAACTTTTTAAATTTAAAAACAAGACAATAAACTCTCAGACAAAATGAAATGAAAACAATTTATTCTCTTGCCATTCTTAAGAATGTCCTTGAACACTCCTGGACCACTGAATAATTACCAGTTTTACAATCCATCTGGCAAAGCCACAGAAGTGGTTAAAGAGCTATGTATTTGGTTCCAAACATTTCCTAGTCCCATTACTTGTCAAAATAAACTGACAAATTACCAAAATGTAAGAGAGAGTATAATAAATGTGGTTTGATCTAAAACACTATGGCAGGTTCATTTATACAATGCACAAAATAAACAATAAGAGTATACATTATAGCTAACTGAGGGAGAGAAAACCATCTATAAAATTCCCTTCCCAACTTCTCTAGCCATCTTTTTCACTCAAGGTTAAGCAAATTTAGGCAATTTCTGATTTAAAGACTCCACCAGTGTTGACACTGCAGTTGAGGATACCCCTACTCTCACCCCACCCCTACCACCCCTAGCCCTGCCTTCCCACACCACTCTTCACTCCCAACTCACACCCTCAACTAGGCACTAAGGTTCACCTTTCCCCAGAGATCCTAAGACCTTACCTTCCAGGGCCTCTCGTTAATGTCCTCCCCATTACATTCTCCCTTCTCTCCTTCCTTCTACCAACCAAAGCTTTCCAACCCTCTCCCCATCCAACCCATGGGAACCCTGAATTATGAATTAGCAAAGAGTTGGGACTGCACTTCCTTTGCCAGTACTGTTGCAACCTAACAGGAAATGGGTGTTCCCAATGTACCAAGTGGGCATTCTGGAGATATTCCTTTCCTCACAGAAATTTGTTTAGCGGCCAGGCACTGTGGCTCATGCCTGTAATCCCAGCACTTTGGGAGGCTGAGGCGGGAGGATCATCTGGTCAACATGGCAAAACCCCATCTCTACAAAAATACAAAAATTAGCCAGGAATAGTGGCACATGCCTGTAATCCCAGCTACTTGGGAGGCTGAGGCAGGAGAATTGTTTGAACTTGGGAGGTGGAGGTTGCAGTGAGCCGAGATTGCACCATGCAATCTAGCCTGGGAAACAGAGCGAGACTCCAACTCATAAAAAAAAAAAAAAAAAAAAAAAGAACAAAAGAAAAATGTTGTTTTGCAAAGTGACTAGAATAAAGAGTATATTCATTCTGCAGTTTAATTACATTATAGATTAACGAGTTTTCAGCAAGCTAGTATGGAAACTTTGCCATTACACATTTATTGTAGAAACGAGAAAATGCATTCCAAGTTTCCAAAACACAAACTTTTAGAATGAAACCTATTTGTGAGTTTAGTTATTGCCCATAATGCCACAACTAAATCAATTCAAATTCCTAAAATAAGGATGAGAATCTTACTAAACCTATTCTTCAGGTATATTCCAAAGGACAATTCATAAATGAAAATACTTGTTAATGAGCTTCTTGTGATATAATACTAACTCTGCCTGCTGGGGTTTGCATTTGTTAATACTAAAACTTGCAAATGAAAACAAAATTATTTTTAAATTTCTGATAAATCATGTTTCAGCAGATTATCAAGTTTCAATAATGCCCTAGTAGCACACCAAAGCAATCATAATCATAATCCTTAAGTTCCTAATAGTACTTTGTGAATTGTAATATGAGACACAACAGAACTAACCAGTGGGTCTTTATGAGAACCAGAAGACCTCTTCTTCATTCCATGAGAGTGACTATAAGAATGATTCTGGAAGTAAATATTTCAAGTTAACTTCAATGATTGCATAGGGAAGTTATGAAAATAATTTAATAAAATTCATCTTGAAATTATATGCACAAAGGTCTATATGAGATACACAATAGTTTACATGCAATTTATTTCCCAAAGGTTAGTAAACAATTCACTGCACTTTACTAGCTAGGCTACCTGGCCCCTCTACACATTTGCATTCCTCCCTCACCTCCCTCTGTGCCAAGCATCTCTGTGTCTGGCCAGCTAAAGAAAACCTGATTAGAACTAAGAGCCAGGCAGGATATTTGTGGAGACCTTCATGCCACACTTGAGTCCCTCTGGCTTCTTTTTTTTCTTTTTCAGTAGAAACAGGGTGTTGCTCTGTCACCCAGACTGGGGTATAGTGGCACAATCATGGCTCACTGCAGCCTAGAACTCCTGGACTCCTGCCACAGTCTCCTGAGTAGGTAAGACCACAGGTATGTACCACTACACTCAGCTAATTTGGGGTTGGGGGGACAGGTAGAGACAATGTCTTGCTATGTTATCCAGGATGGTCTTGAACTCTTGGTCTCAAGTGATCCTCCTGCCTCAACCTCCCAAAATGCTGGATTACAGGCATGAGACACCACTCCTGGCCCCCCCGCCCATCTTCTTTATAAGGATATAGGTAACAAGATAATTCATTTCCTTCTATAGTCTTCCTTACCTAAAGGTCAAATAGCAATCTTTTGGAACAATTAAAACAGGACTGAGAGAACGAAGAACATGACATTAAACTGGCCCAGTCCCAGACAGTACTCTTAACCCAAATTAGTGAATCCACAGTATGTAATGCTCAGGAGGAAAACAACCAACATGGTATGGATTGCCCAGCATACCATAAATGGTCACCTTATAAAAGGGTCCCTTGAAGGCAGGATTGTCTCAATATCTAACTTTTCCTAGGAGTACAGAGCCAAGTACATATGGGAAAATTAAGGCTAGCAATACTACTAAATAGGTAAATTGGTAGATAAGAAATCTAATCTAGGTACGTACTACTTGCCTGAAATAAGAAGGTGTGGCTAGAAGTGCCCTACCTATCAAGAGCCAAAGGCAACAGACTGCTCTAGGTAAACCATCTCACATATATATGGTTGTATCCCCAATCAATGATTAAAAACTCATTTTTCTTTTTTTTGAATATGCATCTTTTTATATATTACTCTGAACATTTTAAGAGATGTCTATGTAATTTAGAAACTCAGGCAACCTAATGACAAAATATTAACCCAAGAAAAACAAGCTATAACTTAAATTCCTTGGTTAATGACATACCATAAAAAACTAACCAAATCAAACCAAAATGTATGGACATAACTGATGTCTTAGGTGTCCTCTAACACTACTGGATGTTTTCTATCTAGCAACTTCACACCTGCTAGCTTGTGACATATGACATAAAACACAGTTAGGGCTTGTGCTCAACATTAAGACATGTTTATAACAGTGTTAGAATGACAATTAGTATGTTAGGTGGGTGGCTCATCGTTTTAAGAAAAGATACATTACTACCAGCTGGGCATGATAGCTCACACATGTAATCCCAGCACTTTGGGAGGCCAAGGTGGGAGGATCACTTAAGACCAAAAGTTCGAGACCAGCCTGGACAGCATAGCAAAACCCCATCTCTACAAAAAAAATAAAACAATTAAATGGACATGTTGCCACATGTTTATAGTACTCGCTACTCAGAAGGCTGAGATGGGAGGATCCCTTGAACCCAGGAGTTCAAAGCTGCAGTCAGTAAGTTATGATTGCACCACTGCATTCCAGCCTGGCTGACAGAGAGGGATCCCATCTTTAAAATTAAAAAAAAAAAAAAAAAAAAAGATATTACTACCAATCCTAGTCCTCAATAGATAAGAATAACTTGTGTCTAATTCTGAAATCCTAAAGAAAAAAATTACTATTCATGCCACAGCCACAAAACATCAGCTTTTTGCTTTGTTAGTCACATTTTCCCCAAAAGTTCATAATAAAGCCATGAAAGTTAGTCATATTCTATAATTAGCATCAACAGATGTTTATAAAGCAAAACTCCAAATATAACACAAAGTCATGCACTACATACTAATGATGAAAGTCTTGATGATCTATCCTTGAACATATCATACTGGGTTTCAGCAGAACATGAAAGTTGGTTTGTTTCCAAATTCAGAAATATAAAGAAGAGAAGAAGTAATATTTGAGGTTATTAAAAATCCAGCACTATTTTAAAAGAAAAAATTATTAAACATGAAAGCTAATCCAGCTGAATTAAAAAAAATATTCTTCCTCCTACTCTTTCCTAGTATAAAGTATTGCTAAACTGTATGTATATTCAAAACTGTATGTTTATTTTTCTTTTAAATAACAAAATTCATAATCACTAATAGTGATATGATTCAATCTCAGTACACTATAGCACAAAACATCCTAAGGGAGCCTTTAAATACAAGAATTAAGCATTCTAAAGTCAAAAGTGCTTTTTAAGAAAATTATTATCACTTTTAACATCATTTCCTATTGTTTGAAAAGTGGCAAAAGCAAAGAATGAACAGGCAATAAGGCAAGCACACATAACTAGCATGGTCAAGCTTACAAACGAACAATTGCAGCACCAAGATGGGGAACATTCCCTTGGATCTGCTTGTGAACAAACATCTAAAATTGTCCTTCCTCAAGAAAATGCTGATTTCTCACTTTGAGAAATCTGGTCAAAGTGTGAACTGCACAGTATCACACAGGTGTGACACAGAATATAAATCAAAGAAAAATATACAAAAGTCATAAGAGCAGAACACGCATATTTCATGTAGGAGCCTTTTAAAAAGATAGTATGTGTAATATCACATTTCAAATCCAGGAAAAAAAAACAAATAGTAACTACATAGATTTATGGCTTTCACACATCGTTTCTTAAACATTCTAGTTTATATTTTTAAGCTATCTACCCAGAAAGTCATATATAAAACAAATAAAAGCAATGAACAAGTTCCTTAGGTAGTTTAAATACTAATTGTTTGGTAAAAATATCTTTCTTTTCCAACCCTTATATTCATTTAAAATTTTAAGGAATACTATTCAAAAACCCAATAGGTTACAGTTCATCAGTAGTTCATAAAATCAACTTAGTAGCTTCAACCAGCTTTTTTTGAGACAGGGTCTCACTCTTTTGCCCAGGATGGAGTAGAGTGGAGTACAGGTTGGAGTACAGTACAGTTCACTGCAACATCGAACTCCTGGGTTCAAGTGAACCTCCCATTTCAGGCTCCCAAGTACCTGGAACTGCAGAACTACAGGTACATGCCACCATGCTTAGCTAATTTTTTTATTATTATTATTTTAGGAGATGGGGTCTTGCTATGTTGCCCAGGCTGGTCTTGAACTCCTGGGTTCAAGTAATCCTCCCACCTCAGCCTTCCAAAGTGCTGGGATTACAGGCAAGAGCCACTGTACCCTGCCCTCAACCAGCATTTTAAAAACTAAACTAGAAGAGAAAATATTAGAGGGTGCTGTGCAAAGTAAGTGCAAATATCATTTTGTGAAACTTTTGTTTCAATAATGTATTTTTTATACTTTTACATATATACAAATCCACATGCATGAATCTTCATGTGTATACTGACTTACGGTGTAAAATGTATTCCTTGTAGAGATCACAATTTTTAAAAAGCTTAAAATATATCACAAAATCAAATTATATAATCTAGTTCTAATGAAACATTAAAATAATAGTTCAGTCAAAATAAAGCCCTTCCTTTCATGCCTAATGAAATGGTCATTTATAAAAAACATTGCAGAAACCTCAAAAAATAAATTCCATAAGTATCAGACTAAGTGGTACCATTTTACCACTGGTATAAATTCATTGAAAATGTTATTGTAATAAACACCAATTTTATTGGAGCAAAATATCTGTACCGAATGCTTTTCTTATATTATCCTGAAACTAACAGAAAACATAAGCAATAAAAAAAAATTATTAATACATGTATAACAAAATCTTGTTACAAAATTTTCCAAAATACATAATAGTATGCATTTGTTAAACTGTGTAGTAGTAAAATGTCACTTACCATGGAGTGACACTTCCCCAAAAATAAAGTTGCTTCTCTATGGAAATTTCTAAATATTTTATATCTAACCCTTTTGTTAAAAAAAAAAAAAAAACCTCCATGACCAAAACGTGTATTACTCAAGTCACACATTCTAGCACACAAGCTATTCCATCCTTCAAATCAGGTAAGTTCATGGAAAAGGGTAGCTGTCTTTACTCTTATCATCCTTTCTGTAGCACCAGTGGCATTTTACACAGGCACAGGATTTAACAAGCCAAACTGGAATTAACCTGTTTCAATTTTCCTTTTCCAAACTATAACGAAGAATTCAGCTGGTTTTTAAAAAAATGTTCAATCTATCTGGTAGGAAAATCCATAATTTGGGCATACCAACTGCTACTAAAATAATGGGCAAACAAAAAAAGTCACCCCAATAAGTAAAAGTTGGCATTTATATTGTTGTAAAATAAGAAAGATTCATCAAAGGAGGAAAAGTGAAAATAGTAAGGGCTCATTTCCAAATTTTTGATGCTATAACTATAGAGCAAAAAAAATCCAAAATTTGCTATTGTAATCTTTTAAAGAAATTTTAACTGTCAAACTTGACTGAAAGTTTTCATTAGGAAACAAACTAGAAAGAAAATACATACAGCAAACAAAGTTCATCAAGTGTTAATTTCTATCAGAATGTACCTATTACTCAAATATCCAGGACGCTGGAAGTCAAAAGTGAATGCACAACACTAATACCACACATTTTCCTGGGCTACACACCATGGTGTCTTTCCTTTTGGGTGTACTGGCTCTGCTCCAAAGTGTCCCAGTTATATCCTTCGATGGGTTCTTCAATGGAATTAAACAGTGTAATAGTAAATGATAAAACACAAAATTGTAAGTATATTTTAAAAATTAAATTCATTAAAATTATACCAAGGCTACTGGTATATAAATAATAACTAAATACATGCAACAGTAAAAATCTCCACCAACGAGAAAAGGCAATTTATCCCTACAGCTCTGATTCAATCAAGATCACTTTTTCTTCGTTTTTATGCTATGGCACAATCAACGCTCAACGCAGCCTCGACTTCCTGGACAGCTCAAGCAATCCGCCCACCTCAGCCTCCCAACTAGCTGGGACCACAGGCGTGCAGCACCATACCCAGCTAATTTATTTTATTTTTATTTATTTATTTTTAGTAGAGACAAGTTCTCACTACATTGCCCAGGTTGATCTCAAACTCCTGGGTGATTCTGCTGCATCAGCCTCCCAAAGTGCTGGGATGAAAGGCATGAGCCACTGTGTCTGGTCAAGATCACTTCATTTTCTAATTTTGGATCTCTACCTTACTGTCTTCTTGTATTTCAATGTATAAAGCAATGACCAAGCAGCTACTAATGTTCTGCACTATTAATAATCCAATCATTATATAAAACTAATAGACACAGACTGTTTCAATTCTAAATTCCTAACTTTGATGTAATCATCCCTCCCCCAATCCTACCATTCACAGTCTAGAACTACCTTTGCTGTTTTTATTTTTATACCTAATGTCTATAGCACTGACACCAACATTTCTAGCCCAGATAGCTTCTGGTAAGCCACTTTTCAAAAAGATAGTATATGAAAGTTAATTGGACAAAAGGAGAAATCTAAAGTCCTAAGAATGCACCATAAGACCATAAATATATCCACCTCACATTCAGGTACTGCTAATGTTCACACATCAAATACTACGTTCAGAAAGTATTAGACCTCTTAATACACGGCCTTAAGTTTTTAAAAATAACTGGCTGAGAAATGCATAACTTCAAAATTATATAGCAAACCACAAGGAAATTTAGGTCAGTGTTTTAGGCCATCACATTTATTTCTACAGAGGACAAAAGTTGTCTAACATATTCAGCTTAAAGGAGAAGTTATTTTAAAAGCAAATAATTTGATGAAAACTTAGAACTCTCAATATTATTTGGGTAAAACAGAAAATGTTTTATCTCAACTATATTTCTTTTAAATGAAATTAGTAGTGAGCTTTCAGACTTGTTTCCAGGGAAGTCTAAACATTTAAACTGTGCTAGATGTACACTTACAGAGAGTAATGTACTAGAATCTCCTCTAGGATGTAAAACTTTTATTAATTTTTACATTTATACATTGACGTTTTTAAATACTGGGAGTTTTATTATATCCCATATTAACAAATTTTCAAAATTAACATAATGAAATTAAATACTGCAGTTATATCTTAAATTTGTTTAATGATACAAATGCCATAAAAATAAAATCAACCTGATTACTTTATATACATTCTGGGTATACAGTTATTATCAGTTTAACTGCAGATTTCTTTTTTTTTGCAGATTTGTTTTAAAGGCTCCCAAATGTTCAAATTTTGCTGGTTCTACCTTTAAGTTAAACAAATATATAATCAAGTTTCCTAAGGTCACATACAAATTTACAAATAAGCAGCTTAATAACAACTGTGTAAAAATACACACTACGAACGTTATAATGAAAAGCAAAACGAAAAAGCCATAAATACAAGAGGATTATTTTCACAGCCTTTAAGACTCAACTTTAAAGCTTTTATTGACTGACTCCCTATATCATTCTTTACAAAATAATTATTTTAATTTTTATTTTGAGACAGAGGCTCACTCTGTCACCCAAGCTGGAGTGCGGTGGCACGATCTCAGTTCATTGCAACCTCCGCCCATGGGTTCAACTGATTCTCGTGCCTCAGCCTCCCAAGTAGCTGGGATTACAGGCATTAGCCACTACACCTGGCTAATTTTTGTATTTTTAGTAGAGATGGGGGTTTTTGCCATGTTGGCCAGGTTGGTCTGGAACTCTGAACCTCAGGTGATCTGCTCACCTCAGCATCCCAAAGTGCTGGGATTACAGATGTCAGCCACCGCTCCCGGCCTTTTCAAAATATTTAAAGAGAAAAAAACAAAGTACTATATCTCCAGGGAGAAGTATGATGAAGTCACTATTAAAATTTTTCTACTGTAAAATCATTTATAGGCTGCCAATTATCTTAGATTTCTGTAACGATCTGTTAATATTCTTTTTTTTTTTTTTTGAGATGGAGTTTCGCTCTTGTTGCCCAGGCTGGAGCGCAATGGTGCAATCTTGGCTCACTGCAACCTCCGTCTTCCAGATTCAAGCAATTCTCCTGCTTCAGCCTACCAAGTAACTGGGATTACAGGCATGTGCCACCACACCAGGCTAATTTTGTATTTTCAGTAGAGACGGGTTTCACCATGTTAGCCAGGCTGGTCGTGAACTCCCAACCTCAGGTGATCCACCTGCCTCGGCCTCCCAAAGTGCTGAGATTACAGGTGTGAGCCACCGTGTCTGGCCAATATTCTTAAAAATCTAAAGTTTTATAACTAAAATATTCCTGATTTAGTAACCAGTTTAGTAACTTACTCTAAAAAGACAGTACATTACATTCGACAAGAAAAATAACCAGCCTGGAGAACATTCACCAAGAAAAATAGCCAGCCTGGAGTTTATATTTATGAATATAAACATGTCAATAACTAGTATGCCAGAGCACACTCAGTTTATTAGAGTCTATTTTTATCATTTATACAAGGTGGAAAGAAAATTAGAGTCAGGGAAAACTAACAAATAGAGACTTCAACATGTAAGATCATCTTACTGATTAAAAAAACTACATGGAAGTATACATATAACATTGTAACCAAAATGCAGTTGTATCCTAAAAGCTATTAAAATTTAAAAAATTTAAATAAAATAAAATGGAAAAAAAGCAAGTATACACATAGCATTATCAATGTGCAAAATAAAAGTACCGCTTTAAGGTTTAAAGTATACTTTTTTAAGAGAGAAATTAGGGTCTTGGCATAATACGAGGGTTTTTAAGGAGCAGCTTCTTCTTCCTCCTGATGTATAACAATCCATGCAAAAAACAACCTGGGGCATTCTATAAAATGTTAATCAAAATGTCAAAGCATGATAATTCCTATACATATTCAGGGAACTTCTCAAATCAGATGTTCAAATTTTCCACATAATAAAATTATAATTAATCATCCAAGCCCCAAAGCTATTTTGCATTTAATAAACTGTCATTTTTTAAGATATGAAAGTAGGAAAAGTCTGAAAGTTAGAACCAAATAAATATTATTTTACAAGATCAATCTTAATTATTTTTTTCCAAAATCAAAGGTCCTTCTATAGAAAAAGAGATTAGACCCATGTTAATAGATTAAAGTATTCATGATTTTAGAGTTGATTTACTTATGACAATAATTTGAAAGAAAGCATCATTTTCCAATGAAAGGTCTTTGCCAATATTTTATACTTCTTTTAAAAAGGCAAAGAAATATATGAACATTGTCAGATTGTTTAGGCAATTGAAGAAAGTTCACATGTAAGCTTTGTATTATGTAGACAAGTTAAAATACCAACCCTGTGACTGCCAAGACTTCGAATGGACAATGCATCCTCAACTCCCTGATAAAAATAAAAATAAACACAGTAAAAGTTTGTGAGTGACTGCATTACGCAAATGAGGAAAAGTATCAGAGGCAAGTTTATAGGTTATTACAAACCAGATAAGGACGATGGTGACTGGACCGGTGGGAATACCTGGCCCTTTCCGAATCTTCCTGGGAAAGGAGAAAGTACATGTAGAGTTAATCGCTGAACAGACAGTTGTTTATCAGAACTGCGCAAAGAGCAGTCAGTTAACAGCACAGCAACAACTCCTGAGAGCAGGTGGGTTTGGACAACTTATCTTTGGGGCAGCCACATTCTTTGGTTGGAAAGAAAGTAGAAATAATCTTGGCAATGTTCTTATTTTATCAGGAGTATGTATGTCAGACCACTTGGAATGGTCTGTATAAGACCAAGAGAGTTCAATACACCAAGATAAAAATGTGCAAGTATACTCAACAAAGAGAAGTTGAGTTCAGCATTAAAAAAAGACATTACTCTATTTTTTTCATTGTGCTCATCAGTTTATGCAGGTAGGAAGAAGTGTTTACATTATCACTGATGTATTTTAACAAGACAGTATATGATTCTAAAAATACTTGGATTATAATTTTGTGCTTACTGTAAAGATTTCTTTTTTTTTCTTTTACCACTCTAACTAGAAAAGAACTGAAACAGAGCCTGAAACAGAGCCTGTGTGTTGTTAATATGAAAAACTACTTATACTTAGAAATAATTACATATATATTTTAGAGTTGGTCAAGTTATCTCAAATAATGCCGTAAACAGATTATTTTTAAAAAATGATTGCAGCCTAACAGTTGACTAAATTAAATGTAATTCTAAACTTTTCCACATTTAGCTATTAGCAATGGAGCATTAAGGCCTGAGTCATGCGGGATAAAATGGCTAGTCCCTAAAACCTACTCATCTCAAACAGTAAGGAATTTCTGATCTTTCAGAATTTCAAGTCCAAAGTGTTAATGTGCACTGACTGAAAATCTATACATTACTGATCAACTGGGTTCATGGCTTATCAATGCTGTATTTTTGTAAAATGAATCAATGCCTCAAAACTCCCTAGTTGACATCTGCTGTGACTGATGCCCTTGACCAAATCTATGCTGAAATCTGTTTATAAGCACTACTATGACTCAATTTCTAATCAGATATTCTGATCTTTAGGAATTCATCACTGATTTACATTTGTTGTTGTTGTTGTTGTTGTTGTTTTTTGAGAAGGAGTCTCGCTCTGTCGCCCAGGCTGGAATGCAGTGGCGTGACCTCAGTTCACGGCAACCTCAGCCTCCTGGGTTCGAGCAATTCTCGTGCTTCAGCCCCCTAACTACCTGGGACCACAGGCACCCACCACCACACCCGGCTAATTTTTGTTTTAGCAGAGATGGGGTTTCGCCATGTTGGCCAGGCTAGTCTTGAATTCCTGACCTCAAGGGATCTGCCCACCTCAGCCTTCCAAAGTGCTGGTATTACAGGTGTGAGCCACCATGCCTGGCCACTGATTTACATTTTTTGTTATGCAATAGACCCATGTAGTCTGCAAGAAGCCAAGAAAATTTCTTCCCTTTCTTTATCAAGTGATACCACAAAAGTTTTGGGGGCATGTGTGTTAGCCTAGCAGGATGGGTACAGTTTATTAAGTGGTAATCAGTTCTAGGCTCCTTAGTTTGGTTAGTTTGAAAAGCCTTTACCATAAAGGTGAGTTAACTCCACATGCCCCTTCCAATATTATTTGGAGTACTAGGATAAATATATGGTTTAATGTCTAATGTTCCCTTTATTCTAGCCTTTTTTCCATTCCATCTATCACATAAGAGCATTTTCAAAAACCTCATCTAAAGAGCACACCCCATTAAAGATGCAGCAAAGACAGATGAAGTCATAGTTTCAATTATGTCCCTTATATTAATAAAAATAATTATAAATTAAAATACCTTATTAAGTATTGATATATAGTACCTCTATATTTAAAGAGCTTCTCTTGCTCCATTTGAAAAATTGGCCTAAAAAGACTTCCAAAAACTACAGAATAAAATATAAACCCCCATACAGGTCAGTTAATTTGGACAGAGAGTATACTTATAGTCATAAACTATACCTTAAATAAGCACTGTCCAATACAACTTTCTCTGACCACGGAAATGTTCTATATTTGTGCTAATATAGTATCCACTAGCCACATGTGGCTACTGAGCACTTGAAATGCAACTGAGAAACCAAATTTTAAATTTTATTTAATTTTAGTCAATTTAAATTTAAATTTAATTACCTACATGTGGCTACCATACCTGATAGCACTTCTCTAAACCTATTTGACAAATATGTTTAGGTAAAACAGTAAGGCAAGCTCAAGGCAAATTTTAATTACACCAAAAACTTCCAAAACACATATTCTACTAAGAGCCTGCCAAGTAGGACCACTCTGATATAGAAAGGCAAAACATTTGGGTCGTTTTTAATTACTTCTACCTTGAATACTTTTGCACAGCAGCAAACATGAGGGAAACAGACCCTGGTAGCAATGATATAAAGTGACCCTGGGGAGGGGAGGGGAGGGGAGGGAAGGCAAGGGAAGGCAAGGGAAGGCAAGGGAAGGCAAGGGAAGGCAAGGGAAGGCAAGGGAAGGGAGGAAAGAAAATGGCAAGGTATTCCAGTTTTCACTCAGAGATTCTCCCTTCTCTGGAAGAACAAAAAGCTTCATTTCCCAGGTATTTCTAGAGTACTATTTACATTGCCAATTGGTTTCTCTTGAATAAATTATACCAGCGGACAAAGAGAAAAGATTACAGCAAACTATGTTCTTAGGTGCCAGTTACACGGTGTATCCCTCTATTCCACAATGAGGAAAATAATACATCGTCATTATCCCAAAAGTCCTTATTAATACTAAAGCACTAAAGAGTGAACAAACAGTACAATGCCTTAAAAAATAGACATATGTTTGTTCAAAATGATGTTTTGATACATTTAATGAAAATGAAATATACTCTTTGTTTTTAAAAGTTCACCTGAAGGGAGGATGAATGGTTTTATTAAAAGAAAACCACAGTCCTATGAATATACCTGGCCATCTTTTCTGTCAACAAATAGTATTTATTATTAAGTTGAGGCTAAAGTCATTCCTTAAGTTTCAAATTAGGAGGAACTTCAAAAACCATTATTTACTCTTCCAGACATGCATTTACTCTTTTGGATACAACAATGATTAAGACAGACACCCAGTTTAAAGAAGAATCAATAGGTTCATGGAAAGTTGACTAAACTAACACTAATGGGAGGCCCAGGAAGGCATAGGTCCTTTTCTTCCTGGTCCTTTCATCCTTCCAACACATTACCAGGTGTGGCACTCTCATACCTTCAAATACTGGTTCTGCCAATGACTATGCAAGTTATTTACTTCACCAATTCTTTATAAACATATCTATAAAATTGGGACAGTAATACTTGTCTTATAATGTGAAATAAAACCTACGTAAAAAGCACTAGCGCAGTGCTGATATACAGTTTGCACTCAAAGTTGTATTCATTTCTGAGCTTCCTTCCTTTTCACTCCCTATTCATGTCCCAACATCACACTTCCAAAAAAAGGTATTATAATGAGGGGAAATTGTAAATACAGGAAAATTTCCTTCCTTCTAGTAACTGACAATCCTATTGGGGATTGTGTGTGTATGCATCATTTATTTTACTATAAATATTAGCCATTTATATTTTGTATTGTAACTATTATATGCCAACTTCTTATGGGGTCATAGATAAAGCAGCCAGAGAGACAAAGATAAGAAGTGAGAGGAAGAATCGGTTTACTTTTTTTCTTTTTCTTTTTATTTGTTTACTGTCAACCCACTCACACCAAAGAATCAGTTTTTTGTTGTTGTTTATTTGTTTGTTTGTTTGAGACAGAGTCTCACTCTGTTGCCCAGGCTGGAGTGCAGTGGAACAATCTTGGCTCACTGAAACCTCCGCCTCCCAGGTTCAAGCGATTTTCCTGCCTCAGCCTCCTCGAGTAGCTGGGATTACAGGTGCCCGCCAGCACACCTGGCTAATTTTTGTATTTTTGGTAGAGACAGGGTTTCACCATGTTGCCAGGCTGGTCTCGAACTCCTGACCTCAAGTAATCCATCTGCCTCGGCCTCCCAAAGTGCTGGGATTACAGGCATGAGTCACTGTGCCCAGACCCAAAGAATCAGTTTTAACAGGGTAAAAGCAAGTGTCAGAAGGGGTTAGAAGTGATAATTATTCCCATCTGTAAAGAAATGCCACTTTCTCTGCATGACCAAGTCCTGCCTATAAATCTCAAGACTTGGATTAGTCACTACCTGAATTTTAAAACTCTAGCCCAAAGGTCACCCCTTTCGATGAAAATCTAGCATACTCACTGCCTAAACTACACACATTTCACAGAGGTTTAACAACAAAACAAAAAAAAAGATTTGGCTGGGCGCGGTGGCTCACGCCTGTAATCCCAGCACTTTGAGAGGCCGAGGTGGGTGGATCGCCCGAGGTCAGGAGCTCGAAACTAGCCTGGCCAACATGGTCAAACTTCGTATCTACTGAAAATACAAAAAAAATTAACCAGGCATGGTAGCAAGTGCCTGTAATCCCAGTTACTCGGGAGGCTGAGGCAGAAGAATCACTTGATCCCGGGAGGCAGAGATTGCAGTGAGCCGAGATCGCACCACTGCACTCCAGCTTGGGCGACAGAGTGAGACTCTATCTCAAAAATAAACAAATAAAGTAAAATAAAAAAGAAAAATTTCATCTTCCTGGCCTGTGAACACAGAAATCAAACATTAGACTTATCTTAGGCAATTTAATTTTAGAATTATAATGCATAATTAAAAGAACAAATTAACATTTCCAAAGACATTTTGCAAGCCAAAGTGATTTTTTTTTTTTTTTTAAGGGATGGGGTCTTGCCCTGTCACCCAGGCTGGAGTATAGTGGCGTGATCACAGCTCACTGCAGCCTGGACTCCTGGGCTCAAGCAATCCTTCTGCCTCAGCCTCTGGAGTAGCTGGGACTACAGACTCATGCCAGCAAGCCCTGCTAATTTTTTTTAGGACAGGGTCTTGCTATGTTGCCGAAGCTAGTCTCAAATTCCTGGCCTGAAGCAATCCTCCTACCTCGACCTCCCAAGTAGTGGGATTACAGGTACAAGCCATAGCTCCCAACAAAAATGATTTATTTTATTCACACAAAACATTCTTAATGCATCATCAATAATATTAACCCAATTACATGCAGAAGACACTTCAAATAAAATTAATTAGGCAAGTTCTAGTTACAAGAAAGGATAGATTCCACTCCAAAATAACACACACATACCTGAGGGGTCATTTAATTTTAAGTAACCAAACATCTTCTTTCTCTTTTTTTCTAAAACACTATCACAACAAGAATTACAATAAAGTTTTAAATTTGAAAGTCATTATAGTAATAAATATTTAAATTCTGCTTGTACCTTAAAATGCTGCTATAGAAGAGATTTGCTCATAAAGTTGCTTGTTTAGACTGGACATGGAGGCTCACGCCTATAATCCCAGCACTTTGGGAGGCTGAGGTGGGTGGATCACCAGAGGTCAGGAGTTTGAGACCAGCCTGGTCAACATGATGAAACCCTGTCTCTACTAAAAATACAAAAATTAGCTGGGCATGGTGGCGGGTGCCTGTAATCCCAGCTACTCGAGAGGCTGAGGCAGAAGAATCACTTGAACCCAGGAAGCAGAGGTTTCAGTGAACTGAGATTGTGCCACTGCACTCCAGCCTGGGCAATGAGCGCAAAACTCCGTCTCAAAAAAAAAAAAAAGAAGGAAAGTTGCTTGTTTAGCAGCAATCAGACAGTGGTTCTGTAATTCCTTTAGGAATTACAGACTACTTTGAGAATCTGACAACAAAAATACCTGTGGGCATTTCCCATAAAAATAATTACATTTGAAAGTCTGCAGTAGAATCTAAGGCTTCATACCCCATCTCCCAAGCCTAGTCATATACAAGTTAAGAAGCCCTGTAATAGGAGACAGTGGGGAACTTACCAAGCTTTAAAAAAGTTCAAATTTAGGAATGATTCACATTAACTAACATTTTACTGATTCATAATTTGCTTTTATAGCTGACAATTTGAGAGTAGTGGTAGAGAACTTAAAAAGGACCTGAAGGAGTTGATAATAATAAGAGTAATTTTCAGAGGAAATGAAAGAATTACCTAGGTCATCTTTCAATGAAGACCATGTGGACTTAGTTTTTTTAAAAAAGGGGAGAGAGAAGTGGGGAAGAAAAGAACAAATCCATAAAAAGAAAACACATTCATTTTCTCACTCTTTCTTGATCAGGAGCATTCATGAGAGGAAGGTGAGGATACTGACTACAACACAAAATGGTTGGACTCCAAATATACCTCTGGTCCACTATAGACAGAACAGACACTCTGACCTTTAGGTTCACACAGGCCAAACACTCCTACTTTGCAAACGATTAGTTAATGTTTTACTTCAAGACTGCATTATTTCAGCAACTGATCACAACATGCAGTACAGGCAATACTGGCCTACCAGCCACTTCTGAATCTGTCCCCATTTCCGATCAAAGGAATGATGAGAGTGCTAGAAATGCAAAAGTTTCATAAACCAAATCGTTTCTAACATATTGCATTCTCCAAAAACCTTAATCATACACATTTTCCCTAAAGAGCAATGATAGCTGACTCAAAGTTACACATTCGAAATATAGAAAATTAGTAAGCTAAATATGTTCAATAATAAGAGATGGATGGTTCCCTGTAGTTAAGAGAATTGTAAATAGAAGTTACATTTAATAACTGTCTCATTCACTTATTTATTTATTTGTTTTTTTGGAGACAGGATCTCACTTAGTCGCCCAGGCTGGAGTGCAGTGGTGCCATCATAGCTCACTGTAACTTCAAACTCCCAGGCTCAAGTGATCCTCCACCTCAGCTCATTCACTTATTATTATATTTAGTATAATTTTAGGAGTAAAAAGACAACAGATTCCAGCACTTCCATTTCAAGTCGAGAACTGCATTCCATATTTGAAACTATACATGAGGTTAAAAGAAAATTAGCAACATGTCAATTTTAGTGTTTTTCTTGAGCTGTGACAACATAAAATATTTACATTGCTTTTTAACCTGCTCACAGAAAATTCACCACCAAAATCAAAAGAAAGTGTTTAATACTGTCCCACAGGCTTTTGGCCCTTCATACTACTACAACATCAAAAATATTTATTATGGGACTTTTCAGGACCAAGTCAATGCCAGAAAAGTAAAAGCATATTTATTTCATTTTAATCAGCCTAATTTCCATATGCCTATTCCTAAAATTTTTTTCTTGTTTTCCTTTCCTATAAAAGCATATTGGAAATTTGTAAATTACAGAAAAGTATAGAAAGAAAGTAAAACCAACAATAATTCCACCACAGACAAACCACAGTATTGATAATCACTTCTTTCTAGTAGTTTTTGATGCTATATATGGATACTGGATTTTGTAACATAAAATTGGGGTTCTACAAATTGTATTGTTTTGGTTTGCTTTTATCTCATATTCTTACATATTTTCCTCTATTATTAAATATGCTTTAAAATTGTAAGTCTGAATGACTTTACAAGGTTTTACCATATAGATACCATAATATAATTAATCCAAATTTTAGGACAATTAGAGCTATACTACACTTTATCATTGCTAAAGCTACCTTAGCTAATATAAGTAAAGCACTCATAATACTAATAACTTATAACAATGTACACAATAATAGCTTTATATGTGTTTATTGTTACTACTTAAAACAAATATCACATTTAATTTGCTGGCACAGAATGGCTTGATAAAACACATACATCAGTTTATACTATTCTCAGTGTTTCAAAGGAAACCAGATTCACATCAGAATAAACTAGCCAAGCACTGATTTTCAGGGAAACAAACATGAAATTAGGGTTATTCCCTCAAATTACCTCTTTTTGTTGCCGTTCCAGTTCTCTCATGCGTATATCTCTTGCTTCTGCCCGGGCAGCCCGTTTTGCTGCCAGCCTTGCCTCTGCCTGAAAAGTAATACAAAACTCAGCTTTATACAACACAAACAAAAACAACCTGTACACCAGATTTGAAAATAAAAAAAAAATGGGACATTACTGTGCAAAAGGGGTGGGGAGGACAAGATATTATCTATCAGCAAGTTTGATTGATTGCTTTAATTAACTCTTATAAACTCATTTTTTTCTCTAGTTCCTAAGTCTCTCCTCAAATCCGGGCCTTTACCTTTAACTTCTTGTTTGATTACACACTCAACACACTTCCACACAGTTTGTCATATGCCTCTCCAAACTTACTCTTTTTCCAGCATTTTTTCCCCATTGATTCAATCATATAAACTAGAAACTTCAGAGCCAACCTCTCTTTCACTTTGGACACTGCCAATAATCAGTCTCCAAGTACCGACAATTCTCCACCACTGAGTCTCTATCAAACCCATCTCAGCTTTCTTTATTCTCACTGTTCCTGCTCATTTCAGGAACTCTTCATCTCCCCATTCCCCAACTCTCTGTTTTAAAATTGAGACAGAATTCACATATCATCAGATTCACTATTTAAATGTATACAATTCCGATGCAGTGGCTCATCCCTGTAATCCCAGCACTTTGGGAGGCCAAGGCAGGAGGATCACAAGAGGCCAAGAGTTTGAGACCAGCTTAGGCAACATGATGAAACCTGTCTCCACTAAAAATAAAAAAAATAGCCAGGCGTGGTGGCGCACACTTGTAACCCTAGCTACTCGGGTGGCTGAGACAGGAAAATTACTTGAACCTGGAAGGTGGAGGCTGCAGAGAGCTGAGATCACGCTACTGCACTGCAGCCTGGATGACAGAGTGAGGCCCTGTCTCAAAAATAAATAAATAAATGTATACAATTCTGTGGTTTTTAGTATACTCACAAGGATGTGCAATTATCATGACTAATTCCAGAACATTCTCATACCCCAAAATGAAACCTGGTACCCATTAGTAGGCACTCCCCATTAACCCTTCCTCTCAGCTCCTGGCAACCACTAATCTACTTTCTGTATCTATGCATTCACTTATTCTGGACATTTCATATAAATGGAATCATACCATAGGAATTCTTCATCTCTTGTTTGCACTACTGCAATTACCTCCAAATCCATCTACCTACTTCCAGAATCTGCCTTATAATTTATCTTCTATATGGTTATATGATGGACAAATCAGCCTTTCAAAACGTATTATTTCTGATCACGTCATTCCACTGCACAAAATCCTCCACCAGCTCCTTATTACTTATGGTTAAAGCAAAAACTCCACAGAATAGCACAAAGGGAAGAACAGAAAGAAGAAAGGCAAAAATGAAATAAGGCTCCTCACAGTCAGGTCCCCACCTTATTTCCAAGTCCAGTAGTCCCCCCCCTTATCTGTGGTTTCAGTTACCCATGGTTAACCAAGGTGCAAAAATATTAAGTGGAAAATTCCAGAAATAAACAATTCATAAGTTTTAAACTGTACGCCATTCGGAGTAGTGTGATAAAAGCTCTCAGGACGTCAATCATCCCTTTGTTGAGCATATCCATCCTGTCTATGCTACCCACTTGTTAGCTGTCTCAGTTATCAAATCACAGTGATTGTGTTCGAGTAATCCTCATTTTATTTAATAATGGTCCTGAAGAGCAAGAGTGATTCTGACAATTCAGGTATGCCAAAGAGAAGCCATAAAGTGCTTCCTTTAAGTGAAAAGGTGAACATTCTAACCTTAATAGAAAAAAGAATCATCCACTGAGGTTGCTAAGATCTATGGTAAGAACAAATCTTCTATCCATGAAATCGTGAAGAAGGAAAAAGAAATTTGCGCTAGATTTGCTGCCGCACCTCAAACTGCAAAAGTTACAGCCACAGTTCATGATAGTTAAGATGGAAAAGGCATTACATTTGTAGGTGGAAAACATGAACAGAAACGTGTTCCGATTGATAGCAATCAACTTTGCTACTATCCACAGCTTCAGGTATCTGCTAGAGGGCTTGGAATGTATCTCCCATGGATGGGGGTGGTGGAGACTACTCTACTTGCTCCACGTGTACTGGATGCATCCCATCTCTCTCCATTCCTGGACTCTATTGTGTTCTGTTATGCCTCTCTTCACAAACTGTTTGGCAGGAGCTGTTCTCCCTTCTCTTATTCAGTAAAATATTACCTTCTATGAAGATTCCTCCCAGTCCCTCTTTCATAAAGTAAGGCTCTATACCCATGTCTCTATTGTGGCTTTATTATGTTGTATTAAAATTCCATGCTTCTCTCACCCCACAACTTTTACGCCTTAATGTCTGCTAAAAAAACAAATGAATTGCAGGGCATAGGTCACAATATCAAGGAAATGAGATAAGGAAGTAGCTTAATGTGCCACGTGAAACTTAGAAATCTACTGTCTGGTTTCTATATGGTAGTGGAATGGTTTCCTCTGTCCTTGGTCACATCTTAATTCTGATTCAGACTATTCTCTTGGATAATAGTTGTTGTCTTCCCATTTTGTTATGTTTGTGCCCAAGTCTCATAAGAATAAACTCAGCCAATGTTTAAAAGGATCTACTACATGTAAGCAATTATGCTAGGTCCTGAAAATACAGAGTAAGATATGCTCTGCCCTAAAGCAACTCACAAAGTTGAAGGATACAGAAACACAATGCTTATGGGAAGGAAGCATGTAGGAGGGAGAAATTAGTTTCGCCTGGCAAAGTCATAGCAGGCTTCTAAGAAGCAGAGAGAGTTAAATAGTTAACTGCTACTCAACTATTCCAAGTTTGGCAATTTCCCAGTCTGTGTAACTGGTCTTTCAATAGAAAAACCCCTGCAAAGTAAATTGTAATCTACCAGCCGTAAGCTGTAACCACTAACAATCTAGAGCAATTAGTTTTCTCCCATGAATTTTACACTGGCCTCCATCTTTTCAAAACCTATGCTCTGCTTCAAGTTATCTGCCTTCTTCTCCCCTCTATCAGTAGGCACTACTTTCTGATTAGAGTTTTTTTTTTTTTTTTTTAAATAGGAAAACACTTCAAGGCTTTTATGCTTCAGTAGATAGCAAATATATTTTAAAATCACAAAGCATCAAAACTTTCAAACCTTTTTAAGAAAGCCCTATCAGTGTGCAGGAATTTTCATTTACATGTATATTAGCTTTGTACCCGAAGCTTCCTTTAGAAATTTAATTCAAGAATGCCAATTTTATCCTTCTAAGATTTGTCTGTGGCCAATTCTGTACAATCTATACTAAAATGAGACTTCCTTCACAAAACCCAACTTAGAGATAATTAAAATATATTCTTTAATAAGACATTTTTAACTACAAAAAGGAAAGGAACAGAAAGAACATGGGCTTCAGAGACACACAAACACCCTTCCCTTTGTTACTTAGCCAACTCAGTGTTACCTCCCTTGGAGCCTGTGTTGAAGAGAGGCCACTAAAACTACATGCTTTAAAAGAAATAAACAGGATTTAAAACTACTTTATCTGGTTCTTTCTATACTTGTTACTAGATGCTTGAAGGAACATGGATTAGCAGGAGTAGCAAGGAGCCAACACTGATTCCAACCTAGTAGACAAAATATTATGATATATTTTAAAATTATTTTTGAATAAACAATTATGGGTACATAAAACACACTTCTAGGTAGTTAACACCAGCATTTTCACCTCAGAATACAATCACATGAAAGAGCTGCTACAGAATCATTTTAATATACACCTCATACATACAAAACAAATGGGATACAACAATAAAGGACAACCAAGATTTAACTAAATTCACAGTAAAGGCTGGGCGTGGTGGCTCACCCCTGTAATCCCAGCACTTTGGGGGGCCAAGGCGGGCGGATCAGTGGAGGCCAGGAGTTCAAGACCAGCCTGGTCAACATGGCGAAACCCTATCTCTACTAAAAACGGAAAAAATTAGCTGGGCGTGGTGGTGCACACCTGTAATCCCAGCTACTCGGGAGGCTGAGGCACAAGAATCACTTGAACCCGGGAGGCAGAGGTTACAGTGAGCCGAGATTGCACTACTGCACTCCAGCCTGGGCAACAAAGTGAAACTGTCTCAACAAACAAACAAACAAACAAAACAAAATAAAGTTGGCTAAAACACAGAATTACCATTTGATCCAATAATTCCACTTATGGATATATATACAAAAGAACTGGAAAGCAGAGACAACATATATTTATATACCAGTGTTCATAGCAGCATTATTCACAATAGTCGAAATGTAGAAACAACCCAAATATCTATCAATAGATGAATGGATAGACAAATTATGGCATATACATACTTTGGATTATTCAGCCTTAAAAAGAAAATTTTGATACATGCTACATGGATGAATCTTGAAGACATTATACTAAATGAAATAAGACAGACACAAAGGGACAAATATTGTATACTTCCACTTAATGAGAAACCTAAAGTAGTCATATTCATACAGACAGAAAGCAGAATAGTGGTTGCCACGGACTGAGCGTAGGGGGAAATGGGACTTACTATTTAATGAGTACAGAGTTCCAGTACTGGATGATGACAGAGTTCTTAAGGATAGTGGTGATGGTTGCATGACAATGCAAATGAATGTAATGCCACTAAACTATATACTTCAATATAGTTACCATGATAAATTTCATGTTACATATATTTTACCAAAATAGGTTGGCTAATTTAAAAGTCAGAATAAGATATAAATTAGAAGTATTCAGAAGCCTAAATTATTTAAATACTTTTAGAGTCTTTAGGCTGATATGACCCCAACTGTTATAATAAAGTTAATATAGAAATTCAGAAACTGAAAATTCAGGTTCAGAAGTTACCTGAAGTCAGGTAGGTCATAGGACCAGGTTTCTAAAAGTGATTCTGATTATTACGCTTCCAAATACGAGGCATATTAAGATTGATTATAAAGGATAAATCCTATTGCATATTTATAGAAATTTATTCTTCCTATAGTAAAAACGATAACACACACAAAAATATTTAGATACACTTACATTCAT